GCTCGGCTTCAACTTAAGATGTTTAGATATTTGTTTTTTTCTGATGTCTTTTTATAATTACAGTATTATCATATAATTTCACATTTATTTTTTTATATTATCTCATGTATTAGTTGATACATTCTGATAATTGTCAGTAAAAAATGCAACATTTCTCTTACTACTTTTTTAATCAGATCAGATCACACTAGCTGCATCAATAGCTTCATAACACACTGCCAGGTGCCACGCACGCGGCTCATGTCAGTGGGATAGGTTCGTTCCTGGACGGCAGAAATACGCATTCTCATGAAAAATTGTGGATTCCTAACAGATATTCAGTTGTAAAAATTCAACCCTAAAGTAGCAAACAATGCATTTCCGGGTATCTAGGGAAAAAAACATTTCGGGAGATGCCCCGGACACACCCTACCCAGGGGATGGGTTTTTAAAACAAAAGTCTTACTTGTTTGTCGAACTTGGCATGTTGAGGGTCCCAATAACAGTCAGCGCCAGGGCCCCACAAACTCCGTTACGCCACTGTTAACAGTGTTTAACATCACGTGAATATGCCTATCCCTACCCATCATGTGCTCTGGTAATTATCACAGCTTTCCACTGATACAATAATAAGGAAACTATTTTATGCCTTGTTTGCAAATACCATGTTTTTTATCCGTCTGTAAATGATAATTTAGCCATACAATACATTTATTTAAATGACTGTATGGTTAAACTCTTACTTATTAACACACGTTGCTCACCATTTAATAACACTGTATTTACAACACCATTTTACTCATCTTCAGTACTGTCTATTTTCTACGAACCTTTCACGCAATCAATATAAACCCTATAGAATTTGAATAAGTAACGTTATTAAACGACACGATCGAAGACAACACAACGGTAATCTTACAAGGAAGATGAAATATTCCAAGTGGCCGAACTTGAGCAGTAATCTCTTTCAATGATACATCAAAGTCTCTAGTAGGTCTATCAAAATCAAGAGCCAAATAAATGAATAGCAAGGGATTATGGGTAATCTATGTGCAGAATGATGAAATATTATTTTAAGTGCATGCTGGGAATTATCAGACGATCAATTTAATGTTAATACCTGCGACAGAGATAAAAAGGACTATTAGTTTAGCCTAATCTCTAATTACATACAGTACAGTACGTAGGCCTAAGTAATACTGTATAAACTTCCATTCCCATAACACTGTAATACATTTTGCCGGCTATATAAAATAGGCAGAATACAAACCAGTGAGTCTATCATATAATTACAATTAGTAATCATATCATTGTTAAACATAGTATTATCTGGAAATGATCATTGAAGAGGTGAAGGAGAATAAATTTGAAATCATTTCAGTACTGTTCCTATAGAAATGCACAGCTTAACTAAAAGTAAGGGAAAAAAAGTAAGTTAGACTAAAAGTAATGGAAATTTGCTTCCATTGGCTAAATGGCACGAGTTTACCTTTAAATAATGTACGGTAATGTATGGTTAAATTATCATATATTAATAGTAATTTATTCGACATATTTTAACTTAATCATAATTCCACAAACAAATGCACAAACATAAATTGAGTATACATATACACTGGGTAAAAACTGTTTATTTTTATTTATTTTTTTTTATTTATTTTTTTTTTTTTTGCGTGTACTGATTCCCTTTCCTTGTACAGAGCTACCGGTACAGTATTATCTGATCTGCAACATTTTATTGTTGACGATTTGGTATGACAATCACAGATTAGCCTATTATGGTCTATTTTACTTTATTTATAATTTTAAAATATGGAAATGTTTTTAACACAGGTTTAAACAGTTAACGGACATTAATGATATACGATGAATTAATTCATGTTTGAAAAGATTCGTTTGTTCCGTACAGTTTTGTTTTGTTTATTTAGGCCTATTGTGATTTTCCGCAACAGTTTAATAACCACGATGATGGCAATGATGATGACAGTGATGATAATTTGATGACAATGATGCTGCTGCTGCTGCTGCTGCTGCTGATGATGATGATGATGATGATGATGATGATAATGATGAGGACAATGACGATGATGATGACAATGATGATGATGTAAGTTTGCATGTGTACGGTACTTCTACAACAGTAGTGTCAAATCTTTTTTAATGGACACTATACAGTACAGTATGGGTTACTAAAGAATAGCTAGCAACAGGTGGTCCGGTATACCTTAAATAAAGTTACTTTGTTTTTGTTCACATTGCTTTATGAATACTGTTGACAACCATTATGATTAATTTCCACTTTCCAACTTGTGAATACGGTATACTCACAATGCGTTTGTAGCATTAATGTAAACTGACGTTCATTATTTAAACGTGAGCCAAAGTTCATATCTCAGGGGTAAGATGAGTTTAATAACTAGACTACTATAGGTTGGGTTTGACTGTGAAAGAATGTACTTAAGCTCAGTATCAACGGTAAGAACCTGTTGTGAAATAACTGTTGCCAAAAAAGGTAAAATAGGTCTACTCATCAGTATTTATTTGTTCATTCTTTTAGGATAACTTTGTTCAATAATCTCTCGATTTACCATATTCGTACTGTATAAAGTATAATTAAAACTTAATAAAGAAGTGCAATGGTTCAATTGTAATGGGTTATTCTCTTCGTATTAATGTGCCGTGCCTTAAGATGATGCAGTCAGTGGCGGATACAGCGGGGGGACCATGAGGGTCCGTACCCCCCCCCCCCCGTCAGTCAAGCCGAAAAATAAAAGAGGAGAAACATTTTAGACCTAATTGCAAATGACTAATCTGTACCTTAAACATTATGGGTAAATGAACTGGATTTACTTTCTGATACACCCTCCTTTATGTTGTTTATGTTGTGCCAATAATTAGGTTTTAAACACAGTTAATAAGCGCTAGACAGCTGAGTGCATTTGGCAATTTCGCGTTTCTTGGAATTTGGAATTAAAAATTGCGGCTGGGCCCATGTGACCCACGGCAGCCATAATACCATGTTCCCGGTCTCGTCTATCTCTCATCCGAGGGTTATTTGAAGAACAGAGCGGACTGACTCTAATTAAAATCGACGTTTAGCCAGATTTGAACTGGGGGCTTCAGCACAAGAAGCAGGAACATTACCTTTCAACCAAACACTCAACTCAACCATTGCTGTTCACCATTGTCAGAATAATTGATATGCAATTGTACTTTGTCAATAACCTATCCTAATCTGAGTCAATCTGCAGTTATTACTATTTGCATTATCTGAAATGCCAAAATTGTAATATCGTTGCAAAGGCAAATTGCTTTAAATACCAAGGTGGTCATGTATGGATATCAATTTACATTGTACTTTTAGCAAAACAAAAATCTTAACAGTTAACTTAAAATGGCTCAAATAAAATCAATAATAAAAATTCGTGATTTCAATTTACGGTAAACAAAAACAAAATCGGAGAGAGGAAATATTTTTGTTCAAATTGGAAGCTTATAACTTTTATTTAAGCAATTTATTTAGTGGCAAAACGGGGAGCACGTGCTCAGTCGGCTAAACTGGTAGTAGCCACTGTATGTGTACTGAATCGTGGAGATCTCTTGGTCCCCGGGCCGGTTTAATTCCTTCCCATCGCTGCCCTTCTTGTATTAATACAACATTGATATGCATTGAAGCACAACATTTTCAGAATAGGTAAGTGAGTAACGCTTATGTTCAATACATAACATTGATAAGCATTGAAATTTTAAAATTTAATGGCAAAATGGGGGCACGTGCTCAGTCGGCTAAACTGGTGGTAGCCACTGTGTGCGTGCTGAACCGTGGAGATATCCTGGTCCCCGGCTCAATTCCCATCGCTGCTCTCCTTGTATTATTACATAGCATTGATATGCATTGAAATTTTAAAATTTAATGGCAAAATGGGGGCACGTGCTCAGTCGGCTAAACTGGTGGTAGCTACTGTGTGTGCTGAACCGTGGAGATCTCCAGATCCTCGGTTCAATTCCCATTGCTGCCACTCTTTATATTTCAGCTGGAGGGCTGAATGCAAGTTAATTTAGCGCACCGTCTTTCGGATGAGACGTTTTAGGCTACGTTCAGACTTGGAGATAAGCCAGGCTTGAGTTAAGCCTGGCTCAACTGGTGTACTGCCCAATCACCACCAGAAGGACCCCAATGGAATTTAGTCTTCCTTCATACTTTTGTCGGTTATCCTTGGTGTTTACACCGAATAAATCCATCCACACTCTGCCCCTAATGGATCCGCGCCTGGTATCCTTAGCGTTCTCAAACCGTAGAAAACCAACTAACCAGGTGTCGACGACATAATATGGTTTACTGTATCTTGTTTAATTGATATTACCCAGTAGGATTAGCTACACAATTCGATTGCTTTGTTATTATCCTGGTGGTTTAAAGCGGGTATACACTTATTGTGTATACAATTTATGTAATGTAATCTTAATACCAAGAGAAAAAAATATGTATGACGAAATAAAGATTGAAAAATGAATAGGCCTACAGTACATACATCAGGACAGGATACATTAGATATTTTCGATGGCTAAACAATCTCCGATAAACGATAATATCCCAAAATAAGTTTGGATACTTTTCTTGGGGTGGGGGAGGAGGGATGGGAATTATCTGTCATACGGTATGGTATAATGCTCAAACCTTCATCCATTCAACATATAATAATATTAAAGCTGATACACTCTGAACGATCGTGTTGCAGTCTGACTTCATACAATGTGTGCATCTATTATTACTGTGCAAGAACCGTATTATTAATACAATTATTATGTAAACTACACTACAGTAACAAATTAAATTAAGAGAATTGTTGGTTGGTAGGCCTATTATTATTATTCAGTACATGTTAATAAATGACTTATTTAGATCGATTTAGCAGAAACCATCTCACTGTTTAAAATATAAAATTATGATTATAAAATATTAAGAGGAAAAGCACAAACTTACCTCGCAAAGTTTTTCGATCCTAACCTTGTCTGTTACCCTTTTCTTAATCCAAAATCACTCAATTTAATGCGGTTCTAGAGATAAAATTAAAATAAGTATAACAGCATTTGGAACAGTCTACAATTAGCAAAATATATTGCAGCATCGAGTGTATTTGCTGCTCATCGATATGGTGGTTGATGGTGCGATAAGGCCATCTAATGCGCATGATCACCAACACTGATTTGTAGGTGTCAACATACGTCGGAATTCTATCCTTATTCGAAACCTTACAAAACGATTGATATACCTTTGAGATATTTCAATTACTGGTAACAAGATACCATGATAAAATCAAGTGACCACAATTCATATTGCTAAATGTGCTCCCGTTTGTCACACGCATACGTATAATTAAATGCTAGTTGCCAGAATACCTGTGAAAAAGAGCAATTGTCGATAGTAGGCCTAATGTATATGAATGGCACTTAAAACGCATTATCACGGAGCAATGTCGGTTTCTACTCTTGTGTAAACTTACTGCGGATACCGTCTTATAAATTGCATCTACTTCAGCGACGCTCTATCTCATTATTATTATTAAAATAGATCTAAGGATCTTCACATTATGTTATATGGCTAATTAAATCGTTGCCGTTCAGGTTGGCGAACAATACCTGTATTAGAAATAGAGTGTGAATGAAGCAACGATAAGTGCATACAATGAGCATATTATTACCTAAATTGCTTAATTTGTTTTTTGAATTTGCACTTGAAATGAATTTTATATTACCGGTTTCATTTTCTGTTCAAATGGCAAATACTGAACGGCTCTCACTCTCACTGACTTGAGAAGGGTTACGCAGGAAAGAGCTCGTTTCTATACTCAATAACTTTTGAGGTAAATCTACGTGTTATATTCTATATTTGCTGGGCTCTGGATGATAACAATGCTATTTGCACTGATCTGGTCATTGAGGGTAAAAAAGAAATTTAAAAAAATAAAATAAACAATACTGTATTGTCTATAAAGCCCATATGAAATATTAAGCATGTAATGATATTGTACATCTGTCTCTTATACACATCTAGATGTGTATAAGAGACAGTATATACATATTATTGAGGTCTGGCCACCATCTTTTGTGCATATTTAAGCAAATCTTCATATGACAGGACATGTGACCACAGTGTGATTTCTTAAATGTTATTCCCTCATCATATGTGTTTATTTATAAAAGGTAAACATTTGTTTGCAATATGTTTAGATTACCAGTAGAATATTTGAAGTAATACGAGTAACCCCTATTTTTCTTGGAATATTTAAGCTAATTTGCATATGAACAGGTTATCTGACTACAGTATGATTTTTGCAAGTTATCACGATAGCTACAATTTGTATTAGTCCGATTACTTTCAAACTTCGCAGATAAGAAGCCAGAGCCTATTGTTTTTGGTACATGTGTGAATATGCTAATTGCTCTTTTGCAAAATTAATATTTCACCTATCAGGTAGGCCTAATTTCAAGTCTACCACGATAACTAAAGTTTGGTACCGGTAAGTCTGGTTTCAAATTTACGGAATGCAAGATGGTAATAAGAAGATAGAGCCAATTTTTTTGGTACGTGCGTGATTATGCTAATTGCAAAAATAATATATCTTTAATGAGGGAATTTTACACTAAATACCATCATAATTCCCATAAAACTTCTAATTTAGTTGAAATTGTAATATTTTTAATGTTGTTGTCATTGTCACTGGTGTAGAACATTGTGTGTTACCACGACAACTAAAATTTGGCATGACTGATTGATTTCAAACTACACTCATCAATTCTCAGAGAAAAATCACAACGTGAAGAGGCTATGATTTTACTGCGCAACGTAAAAGCAGCATTTCTAGTGATTTAAAACCGATTTTTGCGCACAGTATTCTATTGTATAACCAATACAAACCTTTATGGCGTAACCGATTCTTCTACTTTTTATTACGTATCGGCACACAAGAAAACAAATTATAAATGGCCATGGAGGGGTGCCAAGGGGACACCATGAGCGAAGAGCCCTACACAAGTTGTGGGTATCCTCCCCCACCCCCGGCCAAACAATATAAATAATTACAAAAGAGCCTAGAGGTTAAAAATACATTAACAGATTAAAATAGCCTATAAAAGAAGATAAAATAGTTACAGATTACAGTTAATTTACAGTAAATGCAATACTAAACATACGGTATTCTCTCAGTCGGGATAGCTTACTCAAGCCGTTCTACTTTTGGCATCATATTTTCAACTAATTTATTTTAAAAAGCTGTCAAGGATGTTGGTAATTACTGTTTCGCAGCTTTCTCAAAAGACCAATTTAGTTCTCCTTAAAAAGTGCAACACATTAGTGTTTTTTTGTGCCTGCGTTCAACAATTAGCAAAAACAACATGATCATCAACGATAACAACGACAGCAAAAGTAACAATAGCAAAAGTAACTATTATAATTATCATCACCATCATCATTACGCAGGCCTGTAGGACTATCTAATTTTAGTTCGCTGTAATAAAAACGATTTCTGAAGACATAAACTCAATATCATCTGTCATATTCATAATATAACACACATGTTCAAATGTTTTATTCCAACGCGCAAATACTGGATACTTAATATTTAAAATGTCACGTTTAAGTTAATGACTCTTGAATTAATAAATTTAAAGGCAACATAGATGTCAACAATATAAAATTGTATAGATGGCGCTGTTGAAGGTGCTTTCTTTCCCGGAACTTAGCACCGTTGTTACAGGTAGACCTACAATACTGATTTCTCAAAACACGATGATCGAGGTAAACTTTCGACAATTTATTGATTTATACAATTATATAATTTATTATATTATTATATTTTTCCTATAGTTCTGCTCTAAGGCTTTAAATCAACTAGGCCTAGTTTATATAATATAGGAGGTATATAATTTTAAAAAATTAATTCAAATTAATATAAAGCCCATATGAAATATTAAGCATGTAATGATATTGTACATCATGCAAAACATACACACTCGCTTCTACTTAACCACATATCTTTACTTGACTTGGACATAAAAGAACATGATACATTAACCTTCAAATTCGAGATCCTCGAAGTCCAAGACCCCTCAAATTCGAGACCACTAACAGTCTCCAATCTTTTAATGGGACGAATACCAAGGAAATGGTTCTTGTCTTACCTCAAAATTAGAAAACAATTGTTGATTTACAGACCTGCAGAGGTAAAAAATGGTGTCCTACAAGTCTGAATATTACTAGAACTTGTATCGTAAACGGACGTCGGATGTAAAATGAGCAGCGAAAGTTTTCCAGACACCGGAGCTAAAGAAGTTAAATGAACTACAGTAAAGTAATACGTATCTCAAATTATCGTTGTAGGGATAAAATTACAATAGAAAATAATGGGGTGTTCATACTGTAATTCATTTTGGATTTCGATTTCTCTGGTTTGAAACACATAAAATGATAACCAATCAACAATATTGCGAAATCGTATGTCCAGTAGCTTGTTGGTAAACTGGGCACCAGAGACAATGCTCTTTTCTTTTGCCAGGTCAGCACACTGCGTTTTAACGTATACACCTACAGGTATTATTGTTTGTATTCGGGAACGTCTCTTCCAAAAGAAGGTGTGTACTATTTAAAATATTTCAAATGGGGTGCAGCTTGATAGGTTTACGAACTGGACACACGGTGGGTCAATAGTGACTACTCTACCAGATTTATTATAACTGTACGGTAGAGTTTTTTTTATAAATAAATAATATTATATTATTTGAATCCAAACAATATGCTATGTAGTAGAAAATTATCTTTTTTTTAACCAATAAATAAAATGGTTATGGAACCAGATGCAATTCTTTGAGAATATACTACAGTTTATCTATTTACAGGACTACCTATACGCAATAAATACACACACAAAAACAATATTATATTAAGTGAAGACAAATATCTACCTTACCAAAGTTATCTTCTCCGTTTGCGTGGATAAAGTTAATACTGTACTAATATATCATGGGTTACCCAAGTGTCTTATCCCCTCTCTTGGTCATATATGCTTTAAAAAGAGACAAGCGATATGGGTACAAGGTTGGCCAAAACATCTGTTGGCTAATATTAAGTGGGTATGCAACATGGCTATAAAAGTCCTCTTTGAGACAGGTGGCAAATATTTACCACCAGCAAGTGCTGATGGACTTATACGTAGAAAGATCACTATAAATTTTTCAATTTTATTTTCACTCAAAACAAAGTTAAAAATGGATCATCATACTACTAAATGCAAATCCATCCAAAATATCTCTTGGTCACTTCCACAACACATAAAAGATACAGAATAATTCTTTTAATCATACAAAATAAATAATTATCTTTCCATAATGTTCGTACCTTCTATGTTTAATTTGTAGAAAAACGAGTTTAAAGTTCGACAAGTACAATGATTCTAATATTTATAGCAAACCATGTGTCACATACTTTTATTGCGATTAGAGCAAAATCTGTAAGTTGAGATATGCCAAAAATTACAAAATTTACGGTACCTGCGGTATTTTTATTAGGTATTAAAAAAACTGATGTGGCTTATTTTGACAGAAGAGGACCGACAATTTAATTTACATGATATAATTTTAATCGCAATATTTACAATAAATCTAATTATATACTGGAGATGAAGTAATGATGCAGCTTGCTTCCCTTCCCAGCAGCCTGCTCTGCTCAAGTCTTGTTAAAAGCTTAGAATCTTTTTATTATTAAAGTCCCAATCACTAAGGCCTATAATGAACGTAATTTATAATTTGAAAGTTTCCATTCTATTCTGTAAGTGGCGTGCCACTCGATATTAATGAAGAAATTAAGGTTATTTTAATAGACATCCAATGAGACCCAATTACAGGGTCTATGATATTATCATGTATTATTAATAAAAGTCAATAAGCATAATATTTAAAAGAGGCATGAAACCGAATATATTTCATTATTCAACACAAACATAGGCACAGGCCTAAATAAATTATAAAGAAAAACATAGATTTTAAAACCATTCTATTCTGTA